TGTCAGTGAAACACCCTGGCTCCGCTCATGTAGATAAAAATCAACTGCGGTCTTAGCCCAAAGGGTGTTATCCAGAATTGTGTCCGGTAGTTGTTTCCTCTCCTCTTCAGATACCGGTATGGTACTGGCCGGTAACTCATACGAGAGCCAACTTGAATCCATCATGTCCGGCACGTCAGAGGGTTTCTCAAGAAGCCTACATATGACGCCATGTGAATCGGGCTCTTGAATGGTGGGAGGGACCTCTTCAATGATGACAGTGGCCTCTTGAACGGTGGGAGGGGACTCTCGAGGAATGATAGGGGGGCCTCTTCAACGATAGGAGTGGACTCTTGAGGTGACAGGCGAGTCGGGCTTCTTCTTGCGGTGTCTTCGCACTATTGGGGTGTACGGAGACTTAATAGCACGTGCACGCTGTTTGATACGTGAACTCCGTCGTGCAAGCATAACCCGACGTAAAGCATCCACTCTATCGGGCCGCTAAATAATTAAATACAAAAATCAGTAAATAAACAGACATGATATTTAAACAGTGAAAACAAAGACAAATATGTTTCAAACTTGCATTGTATTCACCCAAGTCATTATTCTATCATAGTTCACAAAATGCATCAGATAACAAAGAAAAATATGTTTCAAACTAATACCCTGAAGTTAGTATTTGTCTTTGTTTTGTCTATTGGTTGAAGTAATGCAATCCATTCAAGTTTCAATTTGCAGAAGAAGAAATAGTTTACTTTCGCAACACGAAACTTAAAATCGCAACGCGAAATGAGAATCGCAACGAGAAACCAAAATCGCAACGCGAAATGAAAATCGCAACGACAGAATCGCAACGCGAAATGAAAATCGCAATGCGATTTTGGTTTCGCGTTGCGATTTTGTCGTTGCGATTTTGGTTTCGCGTTGCGATTCTGTCGTTGCGATTTTCATTTCGCGTTGCGATTCTCTCGTTGCGATTTTAAGTTTCGTGTTGCGAAAGTAAACTATTCTTCTTCTGCAAATTGAAACTTGAATGGATTGCATTACTTCAACCAATAGACAAAACAAAGACAAATACTATTTCACAGTGTTAAAGAATACACAGTTTAGCAGAATTGGCAGTAACCGAACAAATTTACTTTCAACCAAAAGACAAAACAAAGACAAATACTATTTCACAGTGTTAAGAATACACAGTTTAGCAGAATTGGCAGCAACCGAACAAATTTACTTTCAACCAAAAGACAAAACAAAGACAAATACTATTTCACAGTGTTAAAGAATACACAGTTTAGCAGAATTGGCAGCAACCGAACAAATTTACTTTCAACCAAAAGACAAAACAAAGACAAATACTATTTCACAGTGTTAAAGAATACACAGTTTAGCAGAATTGGCAGCAACCGAATAAATTTACTAAATAATCTAAGTGAAATGGCTAATCTAAGTGAAATTACGAGTAAATTTATCATTAAGTTAAATATGGAAAATCTTAAACTTACCTCGTTGCATAGAGTATGAACCTCATTCTGCAACGATACTATCATCTCACGTAGAGCGGCAACCTCACCACGTAAAGTTGACACCTCCACACGCCATGCACCATCGTTATCGCGTAGAGTACCGATCTCCTCACGCAAGGCATTGACCTCATCACGTAACTCATCCCGTGGAGGTGGAGAACAAGGAGATAAATGTCGTGGCCTCTTTACCGGTCGCCTATCATGAGGTGATGGTGGAGAAGAGGCTCGATGATGTGACGGGATAGGTGATGGCTCTCGTTCTAGAGGTGTATAGTCGGGTCGATCGGGTGATGGCTCTGGGTGAGGTGATGGCTCTCGAATTGGAGGAAGTGGATGCTGCTCATCATCCGTGCCATCAAAAAAAACTCTGACTAGCTTGCCACCAATCAGTGGCAAGCTCTTCCTCCGTGGGTGTCAGTCTTTGTAATGGAATGTTGGCCTCCTAACAATATAAAAACTCAAACAAAGTTAAACGTCTACTATTAATAACTTGTTTATATATTATATGAAAGTATTTGTGTTAACTTACATTATTTATTGTCGCATATGGTATTAAGTCTTCCCAATCCAACAGATTTTTCCTCTTCCAGGAAATAGCCCTGGGAATATCATTTGACGTTTTTATTGCATATGTACGCATGCTGGGGAAAGCCTCGAATATCCAAATCTACAAACAATATAATAACAAAATTAGTAATTGTTAAATAATTAATTATAATTTTAGAAACATATAGAAATTCTTACCTTAAAGGCCCAAACAAAGCCTGACAAAGTGTATTTCGACCCATCGCCACGCAAACTTTTGCGGTCATCAAAGGCAGTAGACAACTTAGTCCAGGTAGCTTTCCATATACGAACCCCATGGAAACAGATTCCATGCATTCAGGTCCTCTACCAATATTATTAGCTCCCGAGGAATAGGTTGTCTGGCCTCTCTGCCTAAAAAGCCGGCATACACAAGTAGTAGAAGGCATACTCGGACAACATCGACGTCATCCATCCGAGTGAAACCAGCTTTCTTATTAAACAATTTTTTCAGGTCGTCGACGTGTAGGTTCGGCTTCTCCATTGACTCATCCGGAAAAACCCGGGATAACCATGATGGCGGGCGATATGACGAGTGTACCGGCCTACATCATCGTGTCCGAATCGTAGACCAGTGATTAAGCAGAACTCCTTCCGCCCAAAACAAGTATACGCTGGTGGAAAATGAAACTATATCTCTTCCTCACCACGTTGTATACTGTCGGGTAGATTGATGTCATGGTCTGAAGCCACAAATGGGTCAAATTAGCATCTCCACCCGGATGCTGTACTCTCAGCCATGGCCCGAAGCAGGTTTCCTCAAACAATTGTCTTTGTGCAGGTGAAAGCTTCGAAGCAATTGTAGTGGCTAGGCTAACTTTATTCCTTAATGTCAATGAAGCCGAAAAAAATTTCTACAAAACAATAAACATACCAAGTTAGATATACCAAAAACTACACTGAAGATATACCAAAAACAATAAACATAAAAAGTAGTAGTTTATTCTTGAAACTAAAATTTGCAACACTGTTTTGTCTTTTGGTTGAAATGAAAATCGCAACGAGAGAATGACTGTCGCAACGAGAGAAATGAAAATCACAACGAGAGAATCGCAACGCGAAATGAAAATCGCAACGAGAGAATCGCAACGCGAAATGAAAATCGCAATGCGATTTTGGTTTCGCGTTGCGATTTTCATTTCGCGTTGCGATTCTCTCGTTGCGATTTTCATTTTTCTCGTTGCAGATAGTCATTTTCACGTTGCGATTTTCATTTATCTCGTTGCGACTCTTCTGCAAATTGAAACTTGAATGGATTGCATTACTTCAACCAAAAGACAGAACAAAGACAAAGACAAATACTAACTTGAAAATCGCAACGAGAGAATAGCAACGCGAAATGAAAATCGCAACGAGAGAATCGTACGCGAAATGAAATCTAAGTGAAATGGTTAATCTATTATTGAAATGACCAGTAAACCTATCATCAGTTTCAATATGAAAAACCTACAATAATGCAAAAATTTCAAAATAAAATAATTAAAAAAACTAACCCTCGGAGGTTGATTTTCCATTTCTGAATATTGTGAGGGATTTTGACCGTGAATGGTTGTGAGGGATTTCGCCGGAGATGGGGACGGAAATTCGGAGATGGGGACGGATTTCGCCGTAGAGAGTGAGAGATGGAGATGGGACTGAGTTGTGATTTTAGGTTTTAGGTTATGAGTTGCGATTACGGGATTTTGTCTTAATATTCGTTTTTGTAATTTGAAAATAAAATACGCGTAGCGATTATAATGGCGCTTTAAAAATCGCGTTGCGATTTACGGATACGCGTTGCGATATACGGATACGCATTGCGATTTACGGATACGCGTTGCGATTTACGGATACACGTTGCGATTTACGGATACGCGTTGCGATTTATGTGTTCGCGTTGCGATTTTCATATTCGCGTTGCGATTCTGGAAAATCGCAATGCGAATTTGTACTATCGCATTGCGATTGTCAAGAATCGCGTTGCGATTTTGGAAACTGATTTACGATTCTGGGGATCGCATTGCGATTTTTATTTCGCGTTGCGATTTTTTTGGTCATTTTGGCAAATCCAAAAAAAGTTGGTTAAAATCGTATATTATAAGGCATTTTTGGTCACTGAGGCGATTTTCTCTTTCTTTAATTCCTCTTTCATTTTAAGGCTATTTTTTTATCAAATTTGAACCACATGCTCCTAAACCATTGTAGAATAGATATGTACTTTCGATTTCTCTTTTTGATAACAAATTTTTTATTTTTCAATTTAGTCCCTTAATTTTTCATAATTTCCTTATTTCTTCAATTCATCTTTTATTTTAAGTTCGTCTTCTACCAAATTTGAGCCACATGCTCATATACCACAAAAAAATACCCATGTAACTTCAATTCTTACTTTTTATTAAAAATGTACTCTCTCTCTCTCTCTTTATATTTAGTCCCTTAACTTTACATTTTACTCAATTTATTCTTTTGACTATAATTGTTTGCAAATTATTTCTTCCCATCATTCCTTGGCTCCTTTATACTCTTATCAATATTTTACCCTCAAAATACTTTCTTTATAATATGATATTATGAATATATTTCATGATTTTAGATTGCATTTCATATATTAAATAACATTATAAAATGAAAAGAATATAATATATATATAAATATGTATGATTAGAGAAAGTCAGAATTGGAACAATTCCTCGCTATAATACTATAAATAATTATAATAAAATTAGTATAAAAACTCAAATAACTCGACTTGAAAAAATTTCAAATTAAGTTCGGATTGTAAAATACTACTCGTAAACTCGAATAACTCGAATTTTTTTATTCGATTCGATCCGATCGAATGCTCACCCCTAATTATATATCTGCACAAATTAAATGGAGTTGTGAGTCTGTTCCATCTAAAGTCTAAACATTGGCAATGTTGGTTACTAGGTGGCTCTAGCATCAGGAGAGGGGCCATATATTGAGGAAGTGAGAGAAGGGCAGTTAAATATAAGCCTCCAAAATGTGAAATGCGTGGACGCAAAGGGCCTACCATTGGAACCAGATAGATTACATCTTACCACTCAGGCCCAGGTGAGACTCGGGAAGATGTTGGCAGATGCATACCTTGGGTTCATGCCCAGTTCTTCAACAACTAATAATGCTCCTTCCACCCGTTTTTCTACTTCTGTTCCTCGTGTTTTAATAATTGCTCAATTCTTCAGAGGTCTCTGGATGATTCTCACTTTCTGATAGGGATATATATATATATATATATATATATATATTGCATTGTTTCTATGTATTCATACTAACACAGGATGAGAATAAAGAAAAAGAGATTCATATGAACTGAGAAAGAGAGACCCATCTGCAATTGCTGCTGGATCGATCTTGAGCTTATTATTTGATGATTAAATGGCAAGTAATTTAAAAATCAACACCCACAGTGGTTTTCCAATGTGAATAACCTGACTATTGACGGACTAACAACCAATTTCATGCAGTAACACCTTATTGTATATCCCTTAGGCTATAAATTCTCCTCGGCTTTGATGTTCAACATACCCTGGATTATAATAATTTGATTCGAGCATCAAAATTCTATGTGCAGTATTTTTGTGAAAGAAAATTGAACAAATTATTTTTGAAATTTAAATGTAAAATAAACCAAATAAAACAAAACTTAATCATGATATGAAACCAAATAAAAGAAACTTCATGAAGATAGATTGTTACTAGCTAATTACATTATCGAGAAAGATAATTATTAGTCGGTATTACAATGGTTCTTCGCCTAATAAGCCTAAACACTAGATAGACCGACATTGTATGAAGCTTAAACGAGTAAACCACCAAAAGCAAAAGCTTCGAGGGTGCCCCAAACAAGCACAAATTTTAATCTGGAAAAATTCACCAGATGGCGACTTCCATAAACCCATCCTCAGTGGCGCAGCCCCTAAACATCCCCATGGTGTTAACCCACAAGCAACTTCACCATTCTTTGACACAGCAATTAGCCCAGCTTTGCCCTCATCCAACCTGTTCTTTATCACATAATCTACTGCCTCTTGCAGATTCAATCCTTTGTATTCCATTACAGCCGCTACATCCCTTGCCAGGGTGCTTCGGATAATTGCTTCTCCTTCCCCAGTGCACGACACCCCGCACAACTCACATGCATAGGTTCCCTTATATAGACTCTGTCAGATACTGATTTCAATTGGGCTCTGCCACTTGTTCGAAGGGCAGGAATGCAATTTCACATTTGCTCCGTAAATAACGATTTCTTCCTTGCATATTTGCGCTTCCACTTTTGCGTGATTACGGTCTCGCTCTTATATTACTTATATATATTTTTTTATTAATATGAGACAAGTGTCAGGTAATTTTTATTTAAAAATAAATTTTTAATCTTTCGACAATGATCATTAATATATAACATTTATGGTGTTCGAACTCAAATCTTCAATAATAATAATAATTTTTTTATCACGGAAAACACTTGTTCGTGCCCTTGTATTACTTCTAAAACTCTTATATTATGTCCCTTCCAGGTAGGGGTAAACTTGCCATTTGAGTCCCTCAAATTCGACCTGGCCTTTACAAAACCTTAACGATTGGAAAACAAGAATAGGAGTGTATAGTGTTATTTAAAATGTTATTTAAAAGACATTATTAAAAATGTTAATTTAATACAAGGTTAAGAAAAGACATTATTAAAAATGTTAATGAATTTTTAACATTTTTTGTATAGTGTTATTTAAAATGTTATTTTTTACAAAAATATTAATATCGGACTTTACTTAAAATGTTTTTTTTTTATTGAAAATGTTAATATCGGAAATATTTATTTTAGGTGACGAAATTAACATTTTCGATAAAAAAATAATATTTTAAGTAGTGCTTTACCAGAAATGTTAAAAAAATATTAACATTTTTTATAACGTTTTTTCTTAACCTTATATTTTTTTAATATTTCTGATAGTGTCTTTCCTTACCTTTATATTAGGCTGTCGTACAACAAAATTTACCGACTCCAAGTACAATCAAGTTTCTAGGATGTTTCTACTTCACGTGCTGCATCACAACGTCGACTTGACACCACTCTTCTTCTTCTTCTTTAGTTAATTTTCCGCAAAATTCTGTACTCCTATAGGCATAACAATTCCAAAGGAAATTTATGCAAGACCATCTGTAACCACAAATCACTACACATTTAAATTTAAAATGTTAAAAATATATTCCAATTTTAAAATTTAATTCAAATAGTTCAAACCCATATGAAGTATTAATGAATTTTATTTCCAATCATTAAATCGAATTTTTATTAGTATTTATCAAGTATTTTCTAATGTGACAGTAATTCAACATATTATTAAAGGTAAATTTTATGTGTCATGACCATTTTTAAAAATAAATAAATTAAATTTATTAAATAATTATTACTTTATTTTGGAAAATTTGGATTTCGGTTTAATTTGAAATTTATTTGGAAATGATTTGGAGTCGCAATCGACCATTAGGTTAGGTAGGTTAAATACCTAAAAAATGTATTTTTAATGAATTTTAGAAAAATCATTTTAAAGACAAAAGTTTGTTCGTGTATTACCAGAAATTCATTTTTAAGGATCCATGAGTCGATTACGTGTGGGGAATGATTAACACCCCCATAGCGCCCAATAATTGGTACATCTCAATTATACGTTGTCTAAGTAGTGGGATTTCACACATTTGAAACCAAAATTTAAATTACGATCCTTTTATTTCAACTAAAAATGAGTGAATCCTTCCTTTTTTTTATTTAAACTTGCCTCGATAAAAATGATTTAATTCACTCGAATTTATTTAAAAAGGATATTCCTTTGCTACGTGAATTAATAGAAATGGAAATCCAACTATATTAGACGTAATTCCGTTACCTCAAGAAGCACGACAACATTGCCATTAATTTTTTTAAAAAAAAGAGAAGAAGAGGGAAAGCAAATGCATGATTTACGAATGCACCAATAATAAAATGATATATATAAAAATGGGTGAAATACCAATCATGATAAATAAATAAAAACTAAACATAGATAAATAAAAATAATAATTTAAAATAATAAATAAATATATACATAAAATAAATAAAAATGAACATTTATTATTAAAATAATTATATAAAATAATATATCTAGTAAAAAATAAAAATATATTAAAATATAATATATTTAAAAAATTATTTAACATGAATGAAATATATATTAACTTAATAATGATCAAATAATGATATTAGAATATTTTATTTGAATAATCCTCGGAAGGACACCCCAGGTTTTTTGGAGTCTTCCCTAAGTTAGTCGAACAATCAAAGATTTCATAGCTATCTAAAATATTAAATAGACCACCTTGTTAATATAATATGTAGATATTCAAATATTATAAATTTATCTTTAATAAGATATATGTACATATTTTAAATATATAAAAAAACAAATAAAATATGTACATATATTACTAAGTTAAACAAACATAACTTATAATTAATAATATATATAAAAGGAAAAATTTATATTATAAATATGGTTAAAGTGTACAGAACTTCACCAAAATAAATAAAGGAACAAAGGACTATTAAAGTATTAATCTAATTTATCAACTAATGATTTAACAAAAATCAATGACAAAAACGAATATACGACAAACTTCAGCACCCAAAGTATAAATCATGTATATTATAACATTAATAAACAAAGGGCTAAAATGAAAGAGACAGAATAAGAGAGGATTAAATACCCATACATCAAATTCAGAAAACCCTAATCCTAAACGGTGTCATTTTAATTTGGGTTTAAATACCCCTTTATAAAAAAAATTGAACCCTAGTCCCATTTAATTAGCCTCAGTCGAAAGAGAGAGAGAGAATAAGAGAAGATTCTCTCAATTCATCCCAGCTTTCCCAGAACCCGACGAGATTCTGCAACGCCGACCGTCGCCCGTCAACGACGGTGGAGAGAGAAAGTTACCTCAAATGATTTATCACGAATCCTTCTACAGGAATCCGAAGTTTGATTACCTTGAAAGGGGCTGGATTGGCACAATTCTAATGGCAAAGTTTCGATTTTCCCACTCCAACGAGCCTCTTCCTTTCTCCGACGAGATGAACCGGGTAAGCTTTCTTTTTTTCTTTTTCGTTTTTATATTTTGTTCGAACTTCTATCATTCTGTTCTTTTTTTTTTGTTCGGTTCTCCCTTTAATGGGTTCTTCCCTCCCTGAATCTCTCTCCTCCTCTCATTTTCCTCTTGTTCAAATCCTCATTTTTTAAACTGAGCCTTCCTCCATTTTTCTTTTCTTTTCGTTGCATGTTATATTCATGGTGCTCCAAGATTCTATACAATTTTGTTGATTTAGTTTGATTTTTATTTTTTTATTTTATTTTTTTCATTATTTTGAAACATGTGTGGCTTAGTGAGGTGACCGAATAGCAGTAGCGGCAGGGGCATGTTTTGACAGTGACGATGGCGGAAGGTGGCTAGGTCGGTGGCGACTGGTAGCTAGGTTTAGGTTAGGGTTAGTTTGGATTTGGGCTAGGGTTTAAATTGAGCCTATTTCGAGTTTAGGTTAAATGGTAAATGGGTTTTGACCAATTAGGCTTGTAATTGGGTTGATTGGTGGCCTGAAGAAAAAAAGATGTAAATAAAATTAATATTTAGTATTTAATATATAATAATAATTATTATTATTATAATGATGATGATGATGATAATAATAATAATAATAATAACTAAAATCCATACAAAAACATGTGTTTACAACTGCCCTTTTTTGCTCATTCTTGTGTTAACAAGAATATGACAAAGACGAAAAGATAACGAGTTTTTTTTCGGCTCCATATTTTATTTTGAAACTTGAGGTTTGTCTCAAGTGAGACTAAAAAATGATCTTTATCTCAAGAGAGAGATTTTCAAAGTTCTATTTCAAGGGAAACAATTTTAAAAGGATTGAAATTTGCAATGTCAAAAGTTGCATTTTCAAGGGAAAGAAGTTATTAAGCAAGACATAGTTTGTTCAAGAGAAACGATGTCGATGCTTTAGGTTTAAAAGGAGTTTGTCTCGAGCGAGATAAAATTAATTTCAAAGAAATTATCTCATGTGAGATTTTTGCTTTTGAGAGAAAATTACCTCGAGTGAGGTAAAATTGTTTAAGTTTATGTTTCAAGGGAACTATGCTAACTAGGATGAAATTTTTGCTTCAAGAGAAGCAATCTCCAATGATACAATCGATGTTTATCGAAGGTGTTGTTCCATCATGATGAGGACAACTAGCCATTTGAATGACTATGCATCTGAAGACAACCTTGTTCCTTAATGTTGAGGAAATATAATTGCCTATAGACAATTATATTTTGGATACGACACGGTTCTTACGTGATTAGGAGAATCTTGTCATTTTTTATGACATTGCTCCTTCATATTAAGGAGGTCTAGTTAGTGGATGACATTTTCCTACTTGATAAGTATGTCTAGTCGTATTTGAAAGATTACGTCTGACGACAACATTGTTCCTTCTTGTTGAGGAAATCTGATTGCTTAGAGACAATTTGATGTTGGAAACGACACGACTCCTACGTGATGAGGAGAATCTGGTCATTTCTGATGACATTGCTCCTTCATGTTGAGGAGGTCTAGTAAGTGGACGACATTTTTCCTACATGATGAGGACGTCTAGTCGTATCTGAAGACAACACTGTTCCTTCTTGTTGAGGAAATTTGATTGCCTGGAGATAAACGACACTGCTCATCCATGATGAAGAGAATTTGGTTGCCTTATGATAAATTTCCCCTATCGTCTACTTTGATGGGCTTAGTCCTTGTACTATTTGACGCTTAGCTACAGTGACCAATTTCCTTACTGTTGCCTTTAACTTATCTTTTCTGACTTCATTAGAGAACCATATCTTTATGAAGGTCGAATCTTCTTGCAATGATCATATATAGGTTATCCCTTGAAATTCTTGACTTGTGTCAACTTGTTCTTCTTACCCCCAACAAATTTTGCCTTAAAATTTTGGCTTTTCTTGCCTTAGTTCTTAGAATAAGCTTCAATTTCTAAGAGACATTTATCAATTGCCAAAATATATTCTAGAGAGGTTGTCTAGTTTGAAGATAATTTTCTTCCTTTTTTTCTTTTGTTTTTCAAAAGGTGGAAAAGATTTGATGATGAAATTTTGAAAATGTTTTATGAAAGAATTTTAAAAAATGAAAAAAAAATTGAAAAATTTTTTATGAAAGAATTTTGAAAAATGTTTGAAGTTTTGAAAAAATTGTGCCCTTACTTTATGTTCACAATTGAGGCAAATTACAAAACAAGAGTTCATTAGATATCAAAGAATTAACTACTTTTTTAATTTTTTAAAGTTATGAATCTTTGACAAGTGTTAAGAGTTTACGGGTTGATTTTAGGTTGGCTTCTTAAATTCTATGTTTTTTGTCATTGAGTTGCCTTCTTTGTCTCTGTCCATGTAGACATTGTAACACATTCTCTCTTTTTTTCGCAGTTTGGTGTTTTAGTTGGATGCGGACAAAATGATGCAACTAGCATCTCATCTGTGAGACCTTTTAGTATTTCTATTTCCGTTCTCTGAAATTTTTCATTTGTTGAAGTGAGGCTTACACCATCGCGAGGGTCGGAGATGGGGGATCAAGATAGGTTGACCAACATGAACCTTTGTATATGCTCTCTGGATAGCACAAGTCTCTGCTATAAGATGCCAACCCGAGGTCAACCGATCCTCATGAAGAACCAGGTTCCTACACTGCCACAAGGAATAAGCAATCCCCAAGAGATCGATAAGTTTTGGTAAAGTTAAAGCCTGCATTAAAAAAAACCACCACTCAAAAGGAGAAGTGTGGCCTGTATCGATGCTTGTGGCTGAAAATCCCGCTATAGATAGAATGGCACTAGAGTCGGTACTCGGGCCATTCTCGAATGGCATGGAGGGCAGTTTCAATGTGAACCCCACGAATCGGACAGTGGCCATCACTCAAACCTACTGTTAAAAGGCGGGCGCCCACTGGTAAAGCATCGTTTGCGAAACGCCAATCAAAAACACGCACTTTAGGCAAAATGGGTAACCGAGAAAGAAACAACCATAAAGGTGAAGGAGCAGCAATCCCCGGGCATTGTAAGATGGCTGTAGCTTCAGAGATGGGAAACAATTGTCTAACCAATCTTTCATTCTATGACGCAACTCCCAGAATGATGAATTCATCACAACGAACCAGAGCATCAACATTATCGATATGTTTCGTAGAAAACTGAATAGGAGAAGATCCTCCCCATGAATCCTGGAACATAGAGATCCCACTCTCAATACCAGGCTTCCAGAAATAACCAGGTTGAAGTGATGCTTTCGCAACATATAAGCTGAGCCATGCATAAGATGGACGATTGCTGGGCTGAGCTGTCCACACAGAACTGCCAGGGTAATATTTACCTGCAAGAACACGGCTAACCAAACTGTTCGGAGTCCTCATTAATCGCCAAAGTTGTTTGCCAAGGAGATCCAGATTAAAAGCATGTAGCTCTCGGAATCCTAAATCACCCATTCGTTTAGGTTGACATATCGATGACCAAACTAGAAGAGGCCACCTATGCGCATCAGATCGACCAGACCACCAATAGTCACGCATTACTTGTGTTAAATCAGTTATAACGCCACTTGGGAGGAGAAAACATCCCATAGCATATGTTGGAATTGCTTGGCCGACTAATTTAATGTAGACCTCTCTTCCCCCATATGAAACTATGTTTTGTTGCCATCCCGATACTCGCTTCAGCATTTTATCGTGGAGGAACGAAAACGTCTGTTGTTTATTTCGCCCAATGAGTAATGGGAGACCCAAATAGCAACCTAGATCATGCACTTCTTCGACATCCAAATTTTGACAGGTAGCAATGCGAAAGGCAACAGGATGGTAACACTGAAGTGAACACTAGATTTATGAAAATTAAGTTGTTCGCCAGAAGCAGCAGAGTAACTTTCAAGATCCTCACGAATAGCAAGCACCTCATCAATCGAATTACGGAGGAAAAGAAGACAAGTCATCTGCGAAAATTCGGTGGTAATTTGATGGCTTTGACTACTGATTTTAATACCTTATATTTGTCCCAATTGTCGCTTTTGGTGCAATAGCGACGACAAGCCTTGAGCACAAATAACAAAGAAGAACGCTGAAAGTGGATCTTCTTGGCACAATCCCCTCGCAGGTCTGAAAGACTCAGTTAAGGAACTATTAACTCGGATGCTATAAGAGACAGTGGTGATACAAGACATGACAAAAGCAATCCAAGTCGTATGGAAACTGAGGTGTTCAAGCATAGCTCGAAGGAAAAGCCATTCAACACGATCATAGGCCTTTTCTATATCAATTTTCAAGGTTGCCCCACGAGAATAGTTCCCGGTGTCAGACATCAAAAGATGAAAAACTTCATGGGCAATCAACATGTTATCGGATCCATGTCGTCCTAGTACAAATGCTACTTGGCTTTCATCAATACAAGATGAAAAAGAGGCTTCATTCGGTTAACTATGCACTTGGACACTATCTTATAAATAACTCGGCACAAGGAAATTGGTCAGAATTGTGAAAAACGGACTGAGTCAGCCACCTTTGTTATTAAAACAAGAACTGTTTGTTTAGCTAATTCCATTAAACCTGGCCAGATAATAAACCCACACACAAAGCAATGACGTCCTCACAACAATCGGCCAGAAAGAGCGATAGAAACTAGATGGAAGATCATCCCTCCCTGGGGCTTTTGATGGGTGGATCTGACTGAAAGATGTATAAACCTCATCAGCAGAAAAGGGTTGCACCAATGAATCATTCATCGTAGTCCTGATCACCGATTGCACTGAATTGATGATTTTCGTCATCCAAAGTGTACTTTTAGAGGAAAACAATTCATAAAAATAATTGACCACCTCTGTGTGAATCTCATCAATGGAATCCACCCATTCCCCAACACTGGTAAAAATGCCTCGCACATAATTCTTACGGTGACGATCGGAAGCTCGTGCATGAAAATATGGTGTATTACGATCACAATGCTGCAACCAATTGTTGTGCGACCGTTGATACCAATAGGCCTCCTCAATCGAAGAGCAGTGATGTAGTTCCTCTTTCAATCGAGCCAACGCCAGCGTCTCCAGATCAGATAGTGGACGGGAAAGGAGATGATCAAGCCGTAACCGGGCAGAGGCAATCTTAGCTTTATTTACATCACGACGTTCAAATTGCCAATCCTTTAAAGAATCTCCCACATACTGGATTTTCTCAAGTGTAGTCCCTGAAGAGCCCACCCAAGCATGATGAACACATGAGTGACAGCCCTCATCAACATTCCAACAAATATCAAAACGAAAGTAACCATTTATACCCCGATATTGAGGACGCCGTTCAGTTGTCTCACAGTCCATGGTAATAAAATAGTGGTCTGAAGTGGAAATGAATTCACTTGAAGCCCGACAGGTGGAATGGGCACTAAGCTAGGCAGATGAAGCAACAAAGTGGTCAAGTCGCTCAAACAATTGCCTCGTCTGCACTCGACCCTTATGCCAAGTGAACCAACCTTTACTGGGTCTCACATCCAACAAACCATTGAAATCAAGTGTCATCCGGAATGCCTCCATATCTCCTCGTAACTACATACGGCCACCTGTTTTCTCTAAGTCTAGGAGAACTTCATTAAAGTCGCCACCGAGTAACCATGAAAGAGAAGATGAGCTTGGAAGGCGATCAAGAAGGTTCCAGGTCTCGTAATGTCGTTCACGATCACTCTTCCCATATAACCTAGTGAAACGAAACTGATCATTACCACACACAACAACCACATCAACATGAAAAATCAAATAGGATAACAGTTTCATAGAAACAGTCGAATCCCAAAATACCAACAAACCAGAACATGTAGAACTACTATCAACAGATAAACAACCATTCATTCCCAAACAATGCTTTAAATAATCCCATCCATTGTGTCGTATCCGACTATCACATAAGGATAAGAGGGCGGGTCCTTTTCGAGCTACTAAAAGCTCAAATGATCGGACTGTTTAGGGGCTCCCAAGCCCCTGACAGTTCCAGCATATGATATTCATAATCCTTGGCGGGACTGGTCTCTTGCCGCTACCGAATCATCAGTTGTAGAGAATTCCCCAGAACTAGGATGGCGAGAGAATGCTTTCTTAAAGGTGGAAATCAGTTTGCTGTCAGGAGGTCCTAGAGCAGGCCGTTTGACAATCCGGTAGGTGGATGAAGAAGCCTCAACAGTGGTAGGAGGAATGGCCAAGACATCAGGCACAACAGGTGGTGATGGAAGTAAAAATAGAAGTCCGGGCCTTTCACGAACTATAGAACCTGAGGCCATGGGTAGAGATACCCTCATCCAATCCTCATATTCCATTCTAGAATTGTCTGAAGGAGTAGGGAGATTGCATGAAGAATGCAGATGTCCCACACTACCACAGAAAAAATAGAAAGTTGGAAGGCATTCATATTTCAGAATACACAGTCTGGGCTTACCATTTTCTCGGGTTCCAAGTGAAACACATCAAAGGTTTACGTATATCAATTCTTACACGTATACGAAGATAGGAGCCCATAAGACCAACCCTAGTATAGAGATCCACAGCCACCGCATCGCCAAGACGGTTGGCAATCAGAGCATCCACCTGTACATTCATCCAACCCATCGGTAAATCATAGACACGGACCCAAATAGCCATAAAATGGAAGCTATACTCGCCAAGGCCACGAGAAAGTGTCTGTTGCAGAAGACGGCTATTGGATAGAGTAAAATCGCAACTGATAATTTGATAAAATAAAAATGAAGATAAAAGATACACAAAATTTACGTAGAAAACCCCTAAATTTTAGGGTAAAAACTACGGGCAACGGTAGAAGAATTTCACTATAAGAAAATAGGAATTACAACCTCTCTCGATCTACCAAGGAGAAAACAAAGATAATTCTCTCTAGATAAAAAAGAGAAAACAACTCTCAAGAAACTTTCTAAAATCTCTCTAGTATTGGAAGAAAGCTAGAATGCTTTGGGATGATTTTGAAGCTATATGAGCTAGGGTATTTATAGTTATAAATACCATAAATTACAATGACTAAAATTAATTATCCCATTACCCAATTTCAACAAAAATTAGGTGCCTAATTTTTGACTTTGACAAAGCACAATTTGGTGCTTAATTTGGTGCCTAAATTATTTGACTTTTAACAATCTCCCACTTGAAGATTTAATTGGAATAAGCATATCTTCACACCATTCTTTCTACCTTGTACCTTCATGTTGCTTACGTTTCTGACAGGCCACAAGAGGATCGACACCAGGTAAATTTATCAGCGGTGATTGCCTTCGTCATGAAATCTGCTATGTTGTCTTTGGTATGTGAAAACACTAGTTTTTTACATTTGGTTTTTATTATATTTATTATTTTTATTTTTATTACTATTATTATTATTTTTATTATTAATATTATTTTTATTATTAATATTATTATTTTATTACAGATACAACCCAAGTCCCAACTCTGGCCCGATTACAACCAGGCCCGATCAGAAATGGCCCAAGCTAAACCCTAAAACTAGATTAGGGTTTCCATGTCCAGCTGCCGCCTCAAGCTTCCAGAAGCCACAACCGCCGCTCATTGTCGACACTCCACTGCCAGGTGACCCAACCAGATGCTGCCGACGGTCTACTCTGCCACGATGCCTCAACAGAAGGCTCCAGAAGACCCAACTACCCCTCCACGTCGCTTGCTCTATGGTGAGTCACCACAATAGTCTGGTGACTCACCGATAAACACTTCTGGGACCGGTCCGACGAGAGCCTCATCGAGGCCTATAAAACCGAACCTGTAAAAACAAAGAAAAGGCCACAACAAGCAAAGACACATAACAACGACAACCAACAGAGAGCAAGAACAGAGAACAAAAAAAAAGAAAAAAAAAAGAAAGAAAGCAAACCACAAAACAAAAAGAGAAGAGCGAGAGAAACTTACCGAGGAAGACAACACCTCGATCGGAGTCACCACCGGCCTCCAAGCGTCACCAAAAAACCTTCGAAAACCGAAGGTATTTTCCTAGATTTGCTCCGATCGGGAGCTATTTAAGAGAAAAGAACACCGGAACCGTCATTAGGACGGTCCGATCTACGTTTTGGTATAAAAATAAAATTTTTCGACCACCGGATACGGTTGCCGGTGGCAGACGGCTGCCGGCCGATGACCGGCTTCCCTCTGGTGAGGGAAGCTAGAGAGAAGCGAGAGAGAATTCTCTTCTCTCTCAGCTAGAGAGAGAAGAGAAAGAAGAGAAATGGAAACGCTGGCCCTTCGGGCCAGCTGGAAGGGGAGTATATACCCCTTCCCAAACGACGCCGTTTTGGGGAGGGGTATGTCTGTAATTTCACCACTGGACAAACCATTTTCGCGACCCTTCAGGTTTTGTAAACAATTTATTTTGGTCACTGAAATTGACTTTTATGCCTTTTAATTCATTATTTAAATTTTGTGTTTATTATAATTTAGTCACTACAATAAATTTCTATATATTTTAATTTAGTCTCGTAATTTTATTTTATATTATTTTAGTCCTTTCCAGCATAATTACATACTTTAGGGTAAATAACTGATTTAATCCCTTATAATTTTATTAATTTATATTTATATCCCAAATTAATTAATTAGGTTAAATTACACTATTAACCATTATCTTTCATAATATTTTGAATTATTATCTTTATTTTTAATATTTTATATTTAGTTTTATAATTTTAATTTCTTTTATTTTGATCATTATTTAATTACAATATTATTTTGTTATTACTTTTATATTTTAATTATGGCTTTAATTATTATTTTATTATTATCTTAGTCTTATAAATATATTTATATATTTGATTAAATTAAATATTATAATTTATATTTATTTAAATCATTTTTATGAAAAATTATTACATTTTTAATATTTATTTTATTTATTAATATCGAGGAAAAGAGCTGTCTTAAAGCACCTAGAAGCCATTTTCTAATATTTTTAAATAAATAAATATCTTATTTATACATATTAATATATTTTCTTAAAATTATTTGAAATAACATAATTATGAATTAAATATATTTGAATTCTTAATAATAGAGACAATTTATAATTAATAAATACCAATTTTGGGCGTTGTAGGGGTGCTAATCCTTCCCTAAACGTAACCGACCACGAATCCCTTTTTATTTCTAAAAAGAACGAATTTTTGGTTAAACGCAGATCAGTTGATCAGTTTATCTTTTAACTGATGTTTTCTTAAAAAACTCTTTTAAAAAGGTAATTTTTAGGTATTCGACCTACCTGACCCAAAAGGTCGATGGCGACTCCCAAACCATTTTTTTAATTATTTTGTATCCACATTATTTTCCCCGCCAAATAAAAAATTCGTGCTCGGGCGAAAACCGGTTACGACAGCTTGGCGACTCCGCTGGGGACCTGGTCAAACTTTAAAATCAATTATAAATTGTCTCTATTAATTAAAAATTAAAAATTAAAAATTCATATATTTAATTTTTAATTCTTTCTTTTCAAAATTTTTATATACTTATTATTTTCATAATATTTATATGTATATTATTAATGTTTCATTTTATTTTTCAAGTATTTTATTTCATTATTTATCTGTCAGATGTTTGAACATTTATCCTCACACACAACACATGCATTGCATAACATAAAGCTCTATAATTGAGTTTGTCCCTTTTAAGTGGGAGTGAAAGCGACGTCTTCGTGAGAATTTATTCTCCGTGTCAGACCTAGCAAGTAACTTTCGAGGTTCATATACTTTATGTCTTCGTGAGAATTTATTCTCCGTGTCAGGCATAGAGAAGTGTATCCCCTCGAATTGAACTCGATCCACTTTAGTCTGTGATGGACTAGGATTGAGAGTTAACAGCCCAAGGGGGCACTAACAAAGATAATTTGGGTACCTTTACCTTTAGAACCAAAACCCTGCATATAATGAACCCTAGAAATTCTCTTGATCTAAGACAGTACTGAACCTCTAAGTGTACACAAAGGAGAAATAAGCTTTAGCTTTTAATTTATTAATTTTCTCTCTGAATAAATGCATGCAAACTAGTAATCATACGGTTAGGTTAATTTTTCCAAACAAAGCATGGAACTAAAAAGCATGAGATTAGGATTTATACCTTGATAAATAGAATTTTTCTTTCCATTAATTGGTACTAATTATTCTATTTTTGTTTTCTTATTTTTCCATGCATGTTACATTGTTCTAATTTGTTTATATTCTTTTGTTTGTATTACATAATCATGACATAATCAAAAGGTGTTAACTGGAAAGACTGTTCATCAAATTGGAAAGAAATCATAAATGGATAAAAAGTTTTATGATTGAACAAAA